AAAAAAAAAAAAAAAAAAAAAAAAAAAAAAAAAGATGTCAAAAGGTTAGCATCTAGGACTGATATGATAGGTTCATGGTTATCAGATAGTACCTAGGATTTTACTGTCAGTCTGCTCTCCTATCTTAGTTCTTGACTTCTACCCTCAAGATCATTTGTGGTCCAAGATAGTTGTTGGAGCTCCAGACATTGTATCAGCATTTCATGCAGCAGGAAATACTAAGGGAGCACCACACTCTCTTTTCCTTTGAAAGAGATGTAGCTCTTTTGCTTCCATCTCATTAATCAAAGCTTAGTCATATGGCCAGACCAACATGCTAGCAAGGATGGAGAATATAGTCTTTATTCTGGGTAGTAATATGCCAGAAGAAAAAAGAAAGCTCTGATACTAAGGAAGAAGGGGAGAATGGATACTGGCAGGCGGTTTGTTGTCTTTGCCTCATGGGGCTATCGTGGAAACCTTTGCCTTTTTATAACTTTCTCAAAATACATGCACACACGTGTACATGCATACCCACACATACTCGTCCATACCATGATGAGGATACTTGAGAGTGAAGACAGTTTTTTTATTCCTCTCTAGTTATGTTTTATTTGCTTACCTGTAGAGATGATTTTTAACTACTTTTCACAAAGTTAATTTAGAGAAGTTCATCAAACACAAGTATTAGATTGTAGGAACAACAAACATGAGTTTCTGATAAGCCAGTGAGAGTATAATCTGCCTGAGGTCTTTGTTTTCATTTTATCCTTTGCCTGTAAGTCCTCTAATAAGTTTCTTCATTTAAGTGAATCAGCTTATAGTGTGAGATATATAAGGTTTTACATTTGAGGAAGTTCTGTCTCCAAATATCAATATGTCTCCTTTGCAGAACATCAGGAATGAAGTGGGAACTGCTGAGATGGTAATATATGAAGCAGAAAAATTTCTGCATTTAAATCTTAGAAGGCTAACAACTTGATCTCTGGTACTTATGTTACTCACAGGAAATTTGCAGCAAGGAAAAAGTGAGCAGGAAAATATCCCTAGATCGACTTTTCAAAAATATGCTAAATCTAACCCTAATTTATGCTAAAAGTATCTTTAAAGATACATATCAGAAAGTTCTAAACATTTCTGAGTTTCAGGGTCCTGAAATATCATGATCCTAATAAGCTTTTTTGTTTTTGATTTATTGTAGCCTAAATAAGGCAAGAATTAAGAGGAATTAAGATAAAGGTAAGACAGAGAAGTTCTGGGAACATAATTTGAATGATAGCCCTTTCCCCTTTGTTTCCTACTTCTATAATTCCTCTCCTGAGGAACATGCATGCAGGGCCCATGGGCATCTGGGAGCATAGAAGTCCTTGGATGCAAACTGGACTCTAAGTAGGGAGAATTGTTACAGAGCTTGCTCTCATGAACTGAGTGAGTATCTGGAGGACAAAATCAGAGACCTGGGCTGAGGAGCAGAAGTGGTAGGTCCTGAGAAGAGCTAAGCAGCCCTCAGAAATCTGGGGAAGGTCAATAAATGTCTTCTATGAGTGTGCCAGGGTTCTTTTGCTCTCAAGAAGCAGCAAAGTAGCTGAATGGATGGTCTTACTGTTGGTGAGGCTTGAGAGACCACAAGAAGACTGTTTTTCAGCCTAAGCAGGTGACTGGCAGCTTGCTTATTTCTCCACTGCTGCTCCATAAGGAGTAGAAACCATTTCAACTTCCATTACTCATAGAACTGTCATCACTTAATGTACCTCAACAGTCAGCTGGGCCCCAAAGAGCCAGTGAAGAGAAGCAATGGTCACCTAAGGGGTCTCAGTGGCCAGAAAGATGAATCAGCTAAGAACACACATGCCTAACAAAATAGAGCTGCTCGAAGGGAATGATAGCAAATTGAATCCAGCGAAATAATAAGTACTCAAGGAACTTCAAGTATATACCTAAACATAAGACTTTCTAGACATTAAAAAAAAAGAAGAAAAGTTTTCCCAATGTAACAGATGAATTCAGACAAATTAGTATCCTGAAAGTCAAGTACAATAAGTAAAGCACAGAGTAAAAAACATAAAGAAACAAAGAGGGAAAAGTTAAGAAACTTGGAGGTTAGATCTAGAGGATTAAGAAACTTGGAGATTAGATCTAAAGGATTTAACATATAAATGTTAGGAGTTCTAGAAGGAGAAAAAAGAACAGATGCAAAAGAGGCCATGATAAAATAAATCATATATTTTTTACAACTACATTTTTTATAATAAATATTTTCCTGAGTCTCCTAAGGAGTGTTTTTGAAGTTCCAGGCTGAATTGATGAGAAATGACACATACCTAGACATATCCTGGTAAAATTCCTGAACTCTTAATTTCCTGGCAGAAAGAACAAGTTATTTAAAAAGAACAAAAAATTAAATAGCATGTCCTGAAAGTGACCTAAGAATTCCATCCTCAACCAAGATATCATTTATCAGCCAAGTTAAGGAAGGATTTGTGAGGATATGCAAAAATTTAAACAATGTCATCACCATACCTCATGTGAAGCATTTACCTTTCCAAAGACTAATAATTAAACAGATGAACTGGAGCAGCGGTCTATCTAGGGACAGATGGTAGTGAGCACTAAAACTTGGAGTGTGTATGTGCAGGTAAAATGATAAGGATGGACTAGGAATATGTGAGCTAAAATGGAAGACTTACACTAAGAGAGATTCTGATACTAGTTTAGAATTAAAACTGCTAAACTTCATAGTTTGTTAGGGGTAAGTAGCAGGCATTATCACTTTAAAAAAAGAACAGAGAAATATGAGTCTGATTTGAGTACAGGGAGAGTAAAGGCAACTATTAATGGAATGGAAAAATACAGTACATCTTCCAAATAAGAGGATAAAAATACAGTGAGTAGCAACCTGTCAAATCAGTAAAGATACAAATCAGGAAAATTAATAGTGTACCACAGCAAATATATTGTGATTTTTATCTTGCCTAAGAAAGCTTTATGCTATATATATATATATTTTTTTTCTTTTTTTTGTGGTACGCGGGCCTCTCACTCTTGTGGCCTCTAGCGTTGCGGAGCACAGGCTCCGGACGCTCAGGCTCAGCAGCCATGGCTCACGGGCCCAGCCACTCCGCAGCATGTGGGACCTTCCCAGACTGGGGCCTGAACCCGTGTCCCCTGCATCGGCAGGCGGACTCTCAACTACTGCGCCACCAGGGAAGCCCTATGCTATATTATCTAGAGTCCTTGTCTAACTTTGAGGTCTAGGAACCGCTTTACACTAAAAATTATTTAGGACTAGAAGGAGATTTTGTTTATGTGGATTATATCTATTGATATTTTCCATATTAAAAATTAAAGAGATGTTTAAAATGTTTATAATTATTAAAATATTGATATTGAACCTATTACATTTTAATATGAATAACATTATGTTATGAAGAATAACTTTATTTTCCAAAAATAAAAAAAATTGTGAGAATAGTGACATTGTTTTACATTTTTATGAGTATCTTTTATATCATGTGTGATAGAAAATACCTGGATTCACATGCCTGCTTCTATTTGATAAGTTAGTTTGATTGAAGTATATCAAGAAAATTCAGATTCACATTGATACATAGTTGGAAAAGGAGGGCTTCCCATATCCCCTGAATGGGTCTTAAGGACCTCAGAAGTACTTGGATCATACTTTGACATCCACTGAACTGATCTAGAATAATGTACTTTGCATGTAATTAAATATGAAAGTGTTTTTTAACTAGAAGGTAATATTTTCCCATTTCTAAAAATAATATTGTGTTTATGGAAAAATAAATCTTTGCTTTCAGCATCTCTTCTGAAAACATAAGAACCACAAGTGTGAGTACTACCATTATTCAAAATTTGTTAAATAGTAAATTCTTATTTTGGTGCTCTTGAATTTTGAGATTGAAAAATTGTATATGTTATAAACAAAATCCTAGGCTTTCTAGTTTTTTATTTTTCATCACTTGATTAACTCTTTATGAGTACCAGCTTATCATATCAGTAGAATTGTGGCAAATGCTATTTCTTTTCAAGGAGTATATATTGGTGAGTTACTTTAGTTATAAGTTTGCAATATCTCACTGGGCTTTGTTAATTCAGTTTGTCCCTTTCCTTCAGGTTTACTTATCAGGAATCGTGTGTGTGTTTGTGTTAGTACATACCTGTATAATCTTCAGTCCCTTAGAATAAATGAAATAATATGGAGATGTTGAGTAGTGTGTCAGGCTGAAAGCAAATATCTCTTTATAAATTATTTTTTTATGGAAACTCTTATTTTGTTTGAAATATTGTGGCTTAGGAAAATAGATTTACTTATGTATATTCCAAAATGAAGCATTTATTGTGGGCATTAGCTAAGACTTTCTTCCATACAAATAAAAGGCTCAGATGAAATTTCCAAGGTCATCTTTTAACTCTGAACTTGTAAAACTCTTTGAGTACAAGTGCCATTGGAAACAGCTTGTTAGGAAATTTAATTCCGTGTATATTATGGACTGCCAACAAAAGTCAGGTAATGTGCTGTACACTGGAACATCAGAGACACTAAGTAGAGCTAGGTATGAAATATTTTTTACAGTTGGCGTAGCATTTTGTTAGTAACATCTTGTATTTCTTACAGAGTCAACTACGGGATTTTCTCTCTGGCAGACAGTATGCAGTAGATAATGAAACTGATTTTTCTGAACCAATGTCACCAATGAGTAAACACAACCAGGATAATGAAAAGGTATGGCTAAATTGTGAGTAAATAAAAGCAGGATATGATCCTCTTAAAATCACTATGAATTTGTACATTACAGTTACTATTTTTTTTTTATTTTTTAAAAGTTTTTAATTTGCTTAAATAAAAAAAATTTGTGAAGAGTAGTACATTGGAGACTGGCAAGAGCATGATAATAATCAGTTTATTCATGGTTTTGGGCCATGGTAACAGGCACTGTGCAAAAATAGGTATCACTATCGGAAAAGTAGTTGACGGTACAGGTTGCCAGAGTTCTTTGAATTTTTACATTTGTTATACTTCACAGTTAGTATTTAATTTTATTTTATTTCATTTAGTAATATGCTTATTTATTTATTTATTTATTTATGGCTGCGTTGGGTCTTTGTTGCTGTGTGCACTGCCTTTCTCTAGTTGTGGCGAGTGGGCTTAGTTGCTTTCTTTAGTTGCTTGCAGTGCGTGCGCTTCTCATTGTGGTGGCTTCTCTTGTTGCAGAGCATGGGCTCTTGGCACACAGTCTGCAGGAGTTGTGGCACATGGGTTCAGTAGTTGTGGGACGCGGGCTCTAGAGCTCAGGCTCAGTAGTTCGGGTGTGTGGGCTTAGTTGCTGCGCGGCATGTGGGATCTTCCCAGACCAGGGCTCGAACCCATGTCCCCTGCATTGGCAGGCAGATTCTTAACCTCTGTGCCACCAGTGAGGTCCCACAGTTAGCATTTTAAATGGTTGATTCTTAGGAGAATATGTTCTGTTCTCTACCCTTTAAAAAAATCTTTCTACTCTTTGCAGTAGAATAGCTGATGCATCATGAGTTCTGATAACAGGATTTGCTGTCCAAACAAACCACAGAAAAGTAGTACAGGTTTGGTTTAATATAAATTACCTTCAGCTGAACACTATTCTAGGTACGTAATTACATGTAGTAATTCCTCACTAACCATGGGAGTTGTGTTTAAAAAGTTTCTTAGTAAAATTACCATTGACAAGATGAAAGGTTAAGAGTACTGGAAAGAGCATATCTAAAAATATGTTATGTGAGATTGGTTCAAGATGGCAGAGTAGAAGGACATGCTCTCACTCCCTCTTGCGAGAACACTGGAATCACAACTAACTGCTGAACAGCCATCGACAGGAAGACACTGGACCTCACCAAAACAGATACCCCACATCCAAAGACAAAGGAGAAGCCACAAGGAGATGGTAGGAGGGGCGCAATCACAATAAAATCAAATCCCATACCTGCTGGGTGGGTGACCCACAAACTGGAGAACACTTATACCACAGAAGTCCACCACTGGAGTGAAGGTTGTGAGCCCCACGTCAGGCTTCAGAACCTGGGGGTCCGGCAAAGGGAGGAGGAATTCCTAGAGAATCAAATTTTGAAGGCTAGCAGGATTCGATTGCAGAACTTCGACAGGACTGGGGGAAACGGAGACTCCACTCTTGGAGGGCACACACAAAGTAGTGTTTGCATCGGGACCCAGGGGAAGGAGCAGTGACCCCACAGAGACTGAACCAGACCTATCTGCTAGTGTTGCGCGGTCGCCTGCAGAGGTTGGGGGTGGCTCTGTCTCACCGTGAGGACAAGGACACTGGCAGCAGAAGTTCTGGGAAGTACTCCTTGGCGTGAGCCCTCCCAGAGTCTGCCATTAGCCTCACCAAAGAGCCCGGGTAGGCTCCAGTGTTGGGTTGCCTCAGGCCAAACAACCAACAGGGAGGAGACACAACCCCACCCATCAGCAGGCAACCGGATTAAAGTTTTACTGAGCTCTGCCCACCAGAGAAACACCCAGCTCTACCCACCACCCTCTCATCAGGAAACTTGCCTCTTAGACAGCCTCATTCACCAGAGGGCAACAGCAGAAGCAAGAAGAACTACAGTCCTGCAGCCTGTGGAACAAAAACCACATTCATAGAAAGATAGACAAGATGAAAAGGCAGAGGGCTATCTACCACATGAAGGAACAAGATAAAACCCCAGAAAAACAACTAAATGAAGTAGAGATGGGCAACCTTCCCGAAAAAGAATTCAGAATAATGATAGTGCAGATTATCCAGGAACTCGGAAAAAGAATGGAGGCAAAGATCAAGAAGATGCAAAAAATGTTTAATAAAGACCTAGAAGAATTAAAGAATAAACAGAGATGAACAATACAATAATTGAAATGAAAAATACACTAGAAGGAATCAATAGCAGAATAACTGAGGCAAGAACGGATAAGTGACCTGGTAGACAGAATGGTGGAAGTCACTGCTGCAGAACAGAATAAAGAGAAAAGAGTGAAAAGAAATGAAGACAATGTAAGAGACCTCTGGGACACGTTAAACACAACAACATTTGCATTATAGGGGTCCCAGAAGGCGAAGAGAGAGAACTGACCCAAGAAAATATTTGAAGAGATTATAGTTGAAAACTCCCCTAACATGGGAAAGGAAATAGCTACCCAAATCCAGGAAGCACAGAGAGTCCCATACAGGATAAAACCAAGGAGAAACACGCCAAGACACATAGTAATCAAATTGGCAAAAGTTAAAGACAAAGAAAAATTATTGAAAGCAGCAAGGGAAAAACAGCAAATAACATACAAGGGAACTACCATAAGGTTAACTAACAGCTGATTTCTCAGCAGAAACTCTACAAGCCAGAAGTGAGTGGCATGATATACTTAAAGTGATGAAAGGGAAGAACCTACAACCAAGATTACTCTACCCGGCAAGGATCTCATTCACACTCGATGGAGAAATCAAAAGCTTTACAGACAAGCAAAAGCTAAAAGAATTCAGCACCACCAAACCAGCTCTACAACAAATGCTAAAGGAACTTCTCTAAGTGGGAAACACAAGAGAAGAAAAGGACCTACAAAACAAACCCAAAACGGTTAAGAAAATGGTCATAGGAACATACATATCGATAATCACCTTAAACGTGAATGGATTAAGTGCTCCAACCAAAAGACACACACTTGCTGAATGGATACAAAAATAAGACCCATCTATATGCTGTCTACGAGAGACCCACTTCAGACCTGGTGACACATACAGACTGAAAGTGAGGGGATGGAAAGAAATATTCCATGCAAATGGAAATCAAAAGAAAGCTGGAGTAGCAATACTCATATCAGATAAAATAGACTTTAAAATAAAGAATGTTACAAAAGACAAGGAAGGACACTACATAAAGATCAAGGGATCTATACAAGTAGAAGATATAACAATTATAAATATATACGCACCCAACAAAGGAGCAACTCAATACATAAGGCAACTGCTAAGAGCTGTAAAAGAGGAAATCGACAGTGACACAATAATAGTGGGGGACTTTAACACCTCACTTACACCAATGGACAGATCATCTAAACAGAAAATTAATAAGGAAACACAAGCTTTAATTGACACAATAGACCAGATAGATTTAATTGATATTTATAGGACATTCCATCCAAAAACAGCAGATTACACTTTCTTCTCAAGTGCGCATGGAATGTTCTCCAGGATAGATCACATCTTGGGTAACAAATCAAGCCTCAGTAAATTTAAGAAAATTGAAATCATATCAAGCATCATTTCTGACCACAATGCTATGAGATTAGCAATCAGTTACAGGGAAAAAAACGTAAAAAACAGAAACACATGGAGGCTAAAAAATACGTTACTAAATAACCAAGTGCTCACTGAAGAAATCAAAGAGGGAATAAAAAAATACCTAGAAACAAATGACAAAACACAATGATCCAAAACCTGTGGGATGCAGCAAAAGCAGTTCTAAGTGGGAAGTTTATAGCAATACAAGCCTACCTCAAGAAACAAGAAAAATCTCAAATAAACAATCTAACCTTACCCCTAAAGGAACTAGATAAAGAAGAACAAACAAAACCCAAAGTTAGTAGAAGGAAAGAAATCATAAAGATCAGAGCAGAAATAAATGAAATACAAACAAAGCAATAGCAAAGGTCAATAAAACAAAAAGCTGGTTCTTTGAGAAGATAAACAAAACTGATAAACCATTAGCCAGACTCATCAAGAAAAAGAGGGAGAGGATGCAAATGAATAAAATTAGAAATGAAAAAGGAGAAGTTACAACAGACACCACAGAAATACAAAGCATCCTGAGAGACTACTACAAGCAACTCTATGCCAATAAAATGGACAACCTGGAAGAAATGGACACATTCTTAGAAAGGTATAACCTCCCAAGACTGAACCAGGAAGAAGTAGAAAATATGTACAGACTAATCACAAGTAATGAAATTAAAACTGTGATTAAAAATCTTCCAACAAACAAAAGTCCAGGACCAGATGGTTTCACAGGTGAATTCTATGAAACATTTAGAGAAGAGCTAACACCCATCCTTCTCAAACTCTTCCAAAAATTTGCAGATTAAGGAACACTCCTAAACTCATTCTATGAGGCCACCATCACCCTGTTACCAAAACCAGGGAAAGATACTACAAAAAAAACAAAATTGCAGACCAGTATCACTGATGAATATAGATGCAAAAATCCTCAACAAAATACTAGCAAACAGAATCCAACAACATATTAAAAGGATCATACACCATGATCAAGTGGGATTTACCCCAGTATGCAAGGATTCTTCAATATACACAAATCAATCAATGTGATACACCATATTAACAAATTGAAGAATAAAAACCATATGATCATCTCAATAGATGCAGAAAAAGCTTTTGACAAAATTCAACACCCATTTATGATAAAAACTCTCCAGAAAGTGGGCATAGAGGGAACCTACCTAAACATAATAAAGGCCATATACAACAAACCCACAGCAAATATCATTCTCAATGGTGAAAAACGGAAAGCATTTCCTCTAAGATCAGGAACAAGACAAGGTTGCTCACTCTCACCACTATTATTCAACATAGTTTTGGAAGTCCTAGCCACGGCGATCAGAGAAGAAAAAGAAATAAAAGGAATACAAATTGGAAAAGAAGAAGTAAAACTGTCACTGTTTGCAGATGACATGATACTATACTTAGAGAATCC